GAAATGCCGCCGCTTATTTACACTTAATAAAGCTGCCAAGCTGGCGACAACTTTTGCAGTTGCAACTAAGCCGCCATAGAAATACACAGTTGCATGGGACACATGCCCACTACCACTGCCACTGCCACTACCAGGGTGGAGGCATTGCATCCGCCATTCCGCCATTCCGCCATTCCGCCAGGCTTCTCTTTCTCTTTGGTGTTGTTTTGTTTGCTTTGAGCGGCGTAACGCGGCGCGGCGCGGCGTGGCGCATGTGTGTGGCAGAGCATTAAACGCTTAGCAAGTCAAGTAGGCAGGCAGCCAGGCGGCAGGGCAGAGCGACTTTAATGCATAAACAGGCTGCACCAAGGCTGCCTGCATGCCTGCCACTGGCACTGCCACTGCTTGCTGGCAGGAGGCTCTGACTCTGACTCTGACTCTGGGCTCTGCCTTTTGTGTACTTGTTGTGCTGCCCTTTAACGAGAGCTGTGTGGCAGGAACACTTGCACAGGGCCTCCCCCTCCAATCCCGTCCCCCTTGTTCTTCTTGTCTTTGTCGTGATTAATGTCCTTTGTTATTATTTATTTTTCTTTGTGCCTCACTCCGCCCACTCCGCTCTGACAGTTGTTTGCCCCAGAATTGACACGTACTGTCAGCGCGTTCCATTGATAGGGCCCCGGGCCGCGGCGGCCTTTCATCCTTCCCGTTACTTTATACATTTTTTTTTTTATTTTAATATATTTTTAAAAGATTAAAGATCAAAAGTTGAACAAATTTGTGCAGCGGAAGTGACACAATTTTTCGTGTAATTTTTGCAACAAATTTTAAGGCGGAATTTGTACTTTCTTAATTATTTTCTTTGGCTCTCAAGGAAACTTTTAACTTGAACTTTTTAAGGATAAAGAAAGAGCTCTTCTGTGACCCCAATTTTTGTGCTTGCAACTTTGTTGTTCAACTTTTAATATGATATTTTGTATGTTTCATGATTTACTTTTATTACACACAAATACGCACAACCATATGTAGGGGAAGGCTGCTTGTAGACACAGTTTTATTTTTGCCTCATAAATTTTGACCAATTATACAAACATACTCGTTTGTGTACCAATTAAAAGCTAGAGGTCTCAGGTAACTGTCAGTGAAGGAACAAATCGATTCCTTCATATAGAATAATTGCATCAAATGCCGTGTTGTGGACCAGCCTGAAAAATCCGCTTCAAATGCAAAAAAATATTACAGGATATCATCACAAAACAAAAAGAAAAAACGAAAGTTTCTTTATTTTAAGAGCCTTCACTAGCACAAAGAATAAAACAGAAATGAGCAGTTTTCACATGTATCGCACACCTCAAAAATAATATAAATGTTTTGTCAACAAATGTGACTCACAATACACTCAGATCAGTTGCATTTGCTTGCTGTTTGGCTTGTGGGTGGTGGCAAACAGAGCCGAGCCGACGGTAGGATGCTTTTCCCTACATTTCCTTTCTTTGGAAAGAGTTTTGTTTGTTCTATACAAAAAACACACAATTTCCTGTTGCAAGAAATATGTTATGTAATTCATAAATGTATGTGCATATGTATGTATGTATGTATGAAGAGCTTTCATATTTTTCCAATTAGAGCACATTTTATCGCTATCCCCAGAGAGTCTCAGCTCATACATTTAATACGAGCACGAGTAGGATGTACGAGTACATATTTATTTTATAGAACGCCCAACAACAAGCTGCATCTATCTGGAGAATACTACTCGGCAGCACCACTCAAACTGTCCCATAAAATGATTGTTTGCATGCTTTTTACGGGTAAAAGCAGGCGAGCACAGCACAGCCGAGTCCAGCCCAGTCCAGCACAGCCGAGTCCAGCCCAGCACAGCTCAGCCTGCCAGTGTGTACACACACCACACGTAATCAGAGTGTGGACATTCGTTACTGTCATTAAAGATGTCGGCGGTGGCTTTCGGCGACCGTTCTTCGAGCATTACACATACCACACGTTGTACGAGGCACACGTGCCGTGTCGTGGCCAGCAGGGCAGGCAGGCAGAACAGCAGCAACAACAACAAAAATATGTTGTTGTAAAATGAAAATCTGGTTTTCATTAAAAAACAAAAAATAAATAAAAGGAAAAAAAAGAATGCCCTGACCCAATAGCAAACAGAAGCAGGAAGGACCTGGCGACATTCTTCTGAGTAAACAGCTGAGGAAAGATTCCATTCCATGCCATCCTCCCAGAAGGTTTCTCTTTTGCTCCTGCGGAGTAGCAGCAGCCGCAGCAGCAGCAGCAGCTTCCCTTTAACTATGTGAAGCTGTGGACATCAATCAAAATACGGGGGCTAACCACCACCATCACACAGCATAGCCGGAGCGGAGCAGCAGAAGTGTGGCCAGAAGCCGGAACCGGAACACCAGGAGTGGCTGAGTGTGGTGCGTTTGGAATTTTCAATTTCGCTTGGAGGCGGAAAATTTATTAAATTGTTGCGGTGCTCTCTCTGCTCTCTCTCTCTTTCCCTCTGTTTGCCCCTCCCAGGCTGTGGCATAATTTATGCTTAGAAAATGAAATACGATTTCCCGCCCACCCACTCGCTCTCTGGAGGTGCACGCAGGCAGGCATCATCCAAGGATACAACCGCAAAAACTTATCAATCAATTGTGGCCACAATAGAACGATTGCCTCGACTGACATCACAGATTTTGATTTGTTGACTGGCCCCGGCCCCCCGGCCCGACCGATGAATGCATTTCCAGTTTGCAATTTCTTTTTGCGCATCTCGCAGGCAGGTCTCCTCCCCTTTCACCTCTGATGTAGCAAATCGAACGAACGTTTCCGCCCCACGAAGTGAGGGCCAAATCGAATGCTTCACTTCTGATGTGGGGGTGCAAATCGAAGCCGTCCCATAAATAATAGTGGCATCATCCAGGAAAGGAGAAAGAAATAGCTAGAGAGACAGCAGGCAGACAGACAGACAGTCTGATAGTTGAACCGACAAGGATACTGTTGGCCGTAAAAGCTTTTAGCCTCGCAATTCGCAAATGTTTTCAGCTGGCATTTTCATAGCACCTGAACCTGAAGCGGGCCTGTGAGGGCGTTAAAGCGGCACGTATTGCGCATACGCCGTATTGCCCCTTATCAGCAGCCAGCCGCTGGGAGAAAATACAGGAAAAAACAATTCCTGGACATGGGCCATGAGGCGGCATATTTATGAGAACGTTCTGGGCAGACGGCAGAGCCTTTCAGGCCCTGTATCCCAGGCCTTGATTGGTCTCTTAAAGGTCATTGTTGACAGGGACAGGGTCGGGAGGGGGTGCTAGGTCCTCTCACCTTTGTTGCACTCACAATTAGAGCGCGCACTTGCCACAAAATTGCCCTTGCCGCTGGACGAGCTCTTATTTAATTAGTTTCTATTTGCTGTCGCTTTGTGGCATCCTCCTCTGGCAGGCAGGCAGGCAGGCAGGTCACGTCCTAAGTGCTTCTGTGGGCCTATTGATAAATAGACAGATGGATGCCTTCCACACATTTATTGACGGTTTTTCCCACAGCGGCACAAGAGGGCAGACAAATGGAGGACAAATAGCTACCCAGACCCGTACCCGGACATGGAGTGCACTTCAACCGGTCGACTGGCCAATGCTGAAAGGACGAACTCAATAAAATGCCCTGACACTGTGTCAACTGACTGACTGTTTCCCTATGGACTATGAATCCACTTTGATTCACTTTCTTTTTGTCACTGGCTGATGAATTCATTAGAAGAATATTTACCACTCTCTTCGCGCTCATTCTTTGGCAGTTGCTTCCCTTTTGGGGGCATTCAAAAAGCGTTCGGGTTCAGGTTCAGGTCTAGGGTCCCCTGGCGCGTTGACATTAATTTTTGCTGCTCTTTCTAATTTTTTGTTTTTTTGTTAGCTGTGACTGCAATTATTCAGCAATTAAAAAGATAACAGCGCTGGGAACGTGACCGTGGGTGGGGGGGATGCTTTGTGGGGTGGGTGGTGGCCAGCAGCCGGGCCAAAATGAAATTACTTTGGCTTAATTAATGGCCAACGAATGTCGAAAATGCTCTCCCTGTCGCTGTCACTGCCGCTGTCGTCAGCGACAAAGTTAAAGCCACGCAAAGACCACGAAAACTGTTGACAACAAAGTTCCAAAGTGACGCCATTGGGGCGTGGAGTGGTGTGTAGTGGAGTGGAGTGAAGTGGAGTGGATGTGGCGTGTCGTGGCGTAGAATGGAGGAGTCTAAAGAGGCGGACGTGCGTTACACATGATGCCCCAAAGGAGGAGGCAAATTTTTCAGTAGCAAATTCCTGGGAATCTGCTGCTGAGATGCGGGTGTTGACGTCACACACAACGAGGCAGCAGGACGACAGGCGTTTGACTAACGGCGTTGGATATTTTTCGGGGCATCCTTATAGCCTGCCTGGATGGCTGCCCCTGCTGCTGCCTCCCCTGCCTCGGGGGCTACGGAATTTGTAGTTGTCTTCGGCTCTCAGCGGAGGAGCCCATGGAGTACGTTGTTCAAGTTGTTGCAGAGGTTGTAGCTGTGGCGGTTGCTGGTGCTACACAGCTGTGTGTGTGTGTGTGTGTGTTTAGTCATGTGCGACAAGCTCATAAAAAGCGTTTATTTAGCCAAGAGTCAAGCAAGCGGCACATGACACCATGCAACGACAAAATGCTGTATCTGAGATGAGATGAGACGAGGAGGTGGAGGTGGGTGGCATTCATGCCCAAACTGTGCCGGATGGGGGGCGGCATGAATGTCAGAGTGTGAGCTGGATGGGGGGTGGGCACTGACACTGAGTTGGACACTGACTGGTGCCCCGGGGGATGGTCTGGATGGGGTGCCAACAGCCTGCTTAGCGTCGTAATGCTGATTTGGCTCTTACCACATCATTATGTCTCAACTGAATGTCCCTACACCCCCCACCCACTGTCTCGCCTTGCTTTCCTTTAGCCAAAGAACAACAACTCTTTCTTGTGCTAACCAAAGGCTTTGCCTCTCTCTCTTTTTTTCTTTGCAGGCTGCCAGTTTGTTAGGACGCTGTGCATACCGCGCTCCGAGGTCTGCTATGATGGTAAGTAAGCGATAAGACACCAGCACCCCCACCCAGTTAAGATGGACTTAAGCCCCCCCCATCAGATTGTGGTTATCGGTGGGCATGTATGGGTATGTACAATGTACAATGGCCTCCCTCGTCTGTGTGGAAATTGAATTTCCTCCCCCCAAATAAAAGCGGATTATTATGGATAGTTTTGCGTGGTAAGGGGGCGAGTGCGAATGAACCTTTATGCAGCAGCGAAAAGATATACTAAATACTTCGCATTAAGAATGTTAAATGAGGCATCAAGTTGCAAGGTTTTTGGATTTGAGTGAATAAAAGTTTAGCGGGAAAAATTTTACACAAACATGAACCTTTGCCATATGAACAACACTAGAATTCCCCAAGAAAAGAATAAAAAAAATTATAATTTATATTCATTCAAATAATCAAATAATTTTAATCAAATAATTAAATAATTATTAATGACTATTTTTAGTAGCTCATGATTCATATGTATTTCTCTCACTCACATTGCCTTCTGGTGCCATAAGGTCTCCTATCAGCGCACAACACAATTTTAGTTAGTTTATTAGTTTATTTTATTTGTATTAAATTTAAATTTAATACAATAGCAAATAATATTCAAATTAATGAAGTGGAGCGCTAGCATTTTTATTATTTTATTTTTATTTATTTATTTTTATTATATTATTTTATTTTATTTATTTTATAAATATGTATGAGAGCTAGAATATTTTAATCAAAAGTTAGGTACATGGGTGTGAAGTGGTTGGTGAAATGACTGAAATTCATGGAACTTAATATTCCATAGACCAGTATGTGGCATAGAAACGCAAAGTTCAGGGCCCTCTGCACCCCCCAATTGCTTTAAGTGCTTGGAACCCACAAAATACTTACAATGTTAGTTTTCACCGTCGATTTCCGCTGCCATGTGCAATCTTTTTGCACTGCCACTCCCATTACACCGCTGAGTGCCCGACTATTGCCGAAATGCATCTCGAGACTCCAACCATTTTGTGGGTCAAGTCAACGGTGCAAGTACTAGGAGTCGAGTCGAGTCCAATTCTAGTCTAAATTTCAGCCACTGGCATAAGTATTATTCGTATTTGCAGAGCTCTTCAATGCCCCTTCGCACAAAGCGACACCAAGACAAAGTGGAAAAAGGCTAGAATATCAGAGATGGGGGAGTGTGGGACTGCCAGTGCATTATCGAGAGAACACACTCAATTACTTATGTAAGCCGAGTGTTGCGTGGGGGGGTGGAGAAACCGACAGACCGACAGACCGACGGACCGACAGACCGCACGAGAACAATTGGAAAAGCAGCTGCAGCTGTGAAAAATGGCGAAAATTGCAGAGCAATGGTGTTGACCTGAATAGGGGGCAGGCAGAGTTGGTTAGGGGACACATACGAGTACGACTACGACTACGACGGGTATGTGCGAGTATGTGCGAGTATGTGCGAGTATGCGGACTGCAGTCACAGTCGCAGTCACACAATCGCTGTAGTCACGGACCCATTTACATTATGCAAATTACACTGGAGACAAGCAAGCCGCAAGGATGCACGGATACAAGGATATGCATTTAAATGGTCGTAAATCAGAATGAAAACAAAAGGTGCTGATGGAGGGAAAAAGGGGCAAGGAATAGCGCCCTGCAGCGTGCCGCTCCATATCTCCATTGTATTCCGAGCGGGGAAATTAATGCAGTTACACGCCCGATTAATATTCAGAATAAAGATGACAATCGAGACACTTCGGAATGGGTAAAGTAAAACATTTCCAATTTCCAATTGGTTAAATACGAATTTGAGTAGGTGCTTCCCAGTAATCCCAGGGTACCTTTGCCAGTGCAACAGTTATATTTGTGTAAACATGTGTCGAATCATGATAATAGTCTCAGTGTCTGTCTGTCTGTTGCTTAGGAGTTTCCTATGTGATTGTGCTCAGTGTATTATCACTGCTGCCTTTGTATTTCTCTCCTCTCCTTCTTGTGTGTCGATATTGCGGTACTGTGAGACTCGCTCAGAGAGGATCTAAGGTGCGAGCATGTTGCTCCGCAATGATGAGTGTGGGTAAGACAGAGACACACAGACAAATGGTAATTGCGTCGCAGGCAATAACTCTCTGGCTCTGGTTTGTAATGCTGAGAGAGCAGCAGTGTTGCGTTTGAGAGAGAGTTGAGCCCAAAGCACCGTATTTTCGTGGCCTCTTATAGGAAAAAGTGCGGAACAGAAAGCTGAAACTACAGACATAGTGAAAAATGTAACCAAGACCCCGACATATGTATATACGCACATGAATAAATATTACTATAATCATATTCATTTTCTCCTCCCATTCAAGACAATATCTTTGGCAAGTGCATCCCTACCACCGGCGTCGATGTTGAGGACATTGAGAAGTAAGCGAAAACTTTTTGCGTGTTCCCCAAACGAATTGCTAACCGTTGTTGGTCTTTCGCTTTTTGCAGGACACCCCTCACTGAGGAACAGTCTCGTCTGCTGGCCACCATGCTGGAGGAGCTCCAGGGCGCCGGCTTAGGCTGGGACCATCCGTACGTGCAGTGCCGCATCCAGGGGGCGCTCTTCACGCTGCAACGTCAACAGCAGCTGCCGCCCAATCTGTGCGCGAACTTGGCGCCCGTGCCCCCCGAGTTCGGGGATCCGGCCAGCGCCATGGCCTATGTGCGGTTCACACCACCCGAACCGGAGACCGATGTGGAGTACTACGAGCAGCCGAGTCAGGCGCAGTTCTATCCGAAGCTGCTGCTGAAGAAGCAGGCACCGGATGCCGATCGGGCGGATGGTTACCTGGACAGCATGCTGCAACAACAACAGCAGCAGCAGCAGCTGCAGGATCGACGGCGACTGCGACACGATCCACTGGAGCTGGAGCATTTCGGCAAGCAGGACGGGCATGGGCAGGGCATGGCTCAGATGGAGACGCCGAGCATAATGGACGCGTTTCTGGACACCGAGCGGCAGCGTGTGGAGCGCGAGCAGCAGTTGAGGCTGGAAGAGCAGGATGCTCAGGATCGGAAGGCGGAGCAACAGAACCGGCTGGAACTCTACCAGATACTGGCCGCGTCCGAGCCCGATCCGCAGCCCTATCAGCGCAAGCCGCAGCCCAATGCCATGGACCAGCTGGAGGCGATGGTCGAGCAGCAGCAGCAGAGGGAGAAGGAGCAGCGGGAATTGAAGGAGCAGCAGCAGCAACAGCAGCAGCAGAGGGCCAAGGCCCCCGTTTACGTGCCCGAAGAGGTCAACGAGTCCAGCGAGCTCTACTTTCCGGATGACTTAGCACCCTTCAAGCGGACCAGGGGGCGTGCACGACAATACGCCCCCGCCCCCGCCGCCGCTGTCGCAGAGGAGCAGGAGGAGGCGGCGGCACAGCCGAAGAGTTCATTCTTCCGAGAGCTCGCCGAGGAGCAGGGCCTGGTCCAGGAGCCGCTGACTCTGCGGCATGCCGAGCTGTATTCCGTTTCCCTTCCCGAGTTGGCCAAGCGACGTCCGCCGGCCTTCAGTCAGCTGGAGCCGAACGACGTGAGCTCCCAGGAGCAGGGGCTGGCCTTCGACTCGAGTCTGTTGCGCAACTCGCTGACGCCCATCGAGGAGGAGGCGATGCTGGCATCGAACAGCTACCCTCCGCGCGCCAACAACCAGCGCCTGTACACGGAGGGTGGACTGCTGTTCATGCCCCAGGCGGGCGCTGGCTTGGATGGCATGCAGGCTGACGATCCGCGTGCTCTGAAGAAAACGCTGCTGGCCAACATGCTGGGCTTTGCGCGGCACGAACGCCTGGATGTGAAGAAGCCTGGTCCCCAACTGGGACCCCCGGCACCGGCGCCCGTGGATGTGGATGTGAGCAGCAACCAACTGGAGACGGAGAAGCAGCTGCACAAGCCGGAGGATGGTGGCAACAAGGAGGTGCTGCCCGCACACATCAAGGGCAGCGACGAGGAGGAGGCACACAAGAAGAAGAAGGTCGTCAAGGAGCAGCACTCAGCCGAGGATCATGCGCCGCACACCGTAGACACTGAATATGCTCATGTGTTCGTTAAGAACCCGTAAGTGGTGCCGATGATGGTGCAGATAATGATTAGATAATACTGAATATTTATTGGCAGGATCGACAGTTGGTACGATGGGCAGCGCATAATGAATGAGCTGGCGCAGATACTACACATGCAGGGATACTTTTCTTATTTAACGTGAGTCTTGGCCCCCCCACCACCCCTTCTGGGATCCACTGAATCCAAAGTAATCCCCCCTCCTTTGTTGCAGCGTTCAACCACACGAAGTCAGCTTCCGGGTGAACTCAGACAATCCGGAACGCAAGACAGCCGGCGATGTGGCACGCATCATCAACGAGAACCGTGGCGTCAAGAACAACATCCAGCGACGCGTCGGCTTCTATGTGCTGCATGCCGGGGTGGGTGACAAGGTCAAGGATCTGCAGGACCCCAGTGTTTCGGCCTCACGCATTGAGCTGGCCGAACAGGGTCCGGATGTCACCCACATCATGGCCTACATGTTCGCCGGAGCCGGAGCGGCTGCGGTGATCGTGATCTTTGTCACCCTGATCCTGATCAAGCGGCACGACCGCAAGCGCGACAAGCTGGGCGGCCTGCAGTCGGGCATGGCCGGGGCGGAGACATGCAGCAAGGACTACCAGGAGCTGTGCCGCGCCCGCATGGCCGGCAAGAATGGCAGCGGGGGCAGCGGCACCAGCTCAGCGGGTGGTGCAGCGGGCGGGGGTGGTGGTAGTGCCACGGAACCCGCGCAAAGTGGACGCATCACATCGCTGAGCAAGGAGAATGAGGGCGGCAGACCACCGTCCTCGCGATCCAGCACCTCATCCTGGAGCGAGGAGCCCGCCCTGACGAACATGGACATCTCCACTGGACACATGGTGCTGGTAAGTGCGCTCAGCCTGATCCATTGCATGCCGCCTCCATTTACGGCTCTTCTGCTTGCAGTCCTACATGGAGGATCACTTGCGGAACAAGGGACGTCTGCAGCGGGAATGGGAGGCTCTGTGTCGCTACGAGGCTGAGCCAAGTGCTCGAGAGGCCGCCTCCCAGCCGCAGTGCGTGGGTCTGAATCGGCCCGGAGCTCCCTTGCCGTACGATCACTCACGAGTGGTGCTCAATCATTTGGCCAATGCCGAGGGTCTGGACTATGTGAATGCATCAACGATTGTGAGTGGCCCCATAGGCTCCAGGCTGCAGCTTTGTCTGCATTTTCTCTTAAATATTTGCTTCCATTTCAGACCGATCATGATCCTCGTGCACCCGCCTATGTGGCTGCTCAGGGGCCACTGCCATCGACCCTGGCGCACTTTTGGCAAATGATTTGGGAACAGGGCGCCGTTGTCATTGTGGCACTATGCCGACTGCAGGAGAACGGAGAGGTGGCATGTGCGCGCTACTGGCCGGAAGAAGGTGCCGAGGTTTATCACATCTATGAGGTAGGACGAGGAGGAAAGGGAATACTCTAGGAAGGAACACTCTAACCGATAATCTCTAATCTCCTGCGACAGGTTCACCTAGTTAGCGAACACATTTGGTGTGATGATTACCTCGTACGTTCTTTCTATCTGAAGAATTTGCGCACAAGCGAAACCCGTACCGTCACTCAGTTCCATTTCCTCTCCTGGCCACAAATGGGAGTTCCTGCCCAGGCCAAGGCACTGCTCGACTTTAGACGGTGACTATTCCCACCCCATTTCTCATGCCTTAGCCACCCCTTTGATTGCCATTTCTCTTGCAGCAAAGTGAACAAATCGTATCGCGGTCGTCGTTCCTGTCCCATTGTGGTGCATGGCAGTGCTGGTGCCGGTCGAACCGGTGCCTACATCCTGCTGGATCTGGTGCTCGAACGCATGAACAAGGGTGCGCGTGAGATTGACATAGCCGCCACCCTGGAGCATCTGCGGGATCAGCGGGCCGGTGTGGTGGCCACGCGGCAGCAGTTTGAATTTGTGCTGATGGCCGTCGCCGAGGAGGTTCACGCCATCCTCAAGGCCCTGCCGGCCAACACATCGGGGGAGAAGCGAGAGCTGGACAAGGATCCTGTTGTGGTGGGCAGCGGTACCGTCAACAATGGCAGCCACCAAGGAGCCAAGGAGCCGCTCAAGGAGGACAAGGCTCAGGAAGCAGCCGAGGAGGAGGCGCCCACCAGCAGTGCCAAGGCCGCAGCAGCAGCAGCAGCAGCAGCCAAGGAGAAGGAGAAGGAGCAGCCCAAGGCAGCCGAGCAGAAGAGCGCGTCGGCCAAGCCGCCAGCCAAGGCAAAGAAATAGATTCGGGATCAGGATAGGATCGGGTTGGAAGGAACCTCAGGTTAAATGATTGTTGCAGCGTTTCGGGGGGTCTTTTTTCGTTTTGTAGTTAGAGTTTGAACTTTAACCTTTGTGTTCCCATTATGATTTGGCGTGAGCACTTGGAAGGTTCGAAAAAGGCCACACGTGGAACGAATGGAGTTGGAATTTTTCGATTAAGCTGTTGTTTCTTAGCGCACATCTATCGGCTATCGATTATCGATTAACGACTATAGGTTATTGTATCCGTTACATGGTTCTTGAGTTTTAAAAACCACATTGCAGCGCAAAGGCGCATGGAGCACGGGGGGGCGGTGCTTGCCTCCGCCGATACGCGGCACCGGCGCGTGCACCAGCCCGTCACGACCGGTGTGCGTCCGGGGCGAGGAGAGAGCCGTTCGCTGGCCCCATGCGTGGTGCTACCGTCTCATATACCGAAAATGCACACACAAAAAATATACATATATACATATAAAGGAATTATTTGATATATGCAATGAATATTTACAAGGCATACAATACATATATATATATATATACATATAACTATCCACCTACATATATACATGTGAATGTGTCTAGGTGTTAAGCATTGGATTCAATTACGGGGCATTTTACTGGCAAAACTAATTCTAATTAGCCACTTAACTATACAAAACTCTAATCGATGTGCTTGAACCAAAAAACCCAGCTGAAAAAAAAACAACAATCGAGCTAAATGGTATACATATGCCGCCAAACAAAAACAAGCCCCCAAAAAAAACACAAACACAAACAAACAAACAAACAGACACAGACACACTTCCTACTACGTGTAGTACACCCCCCACACACACATACTCGTACAAGACATATACAAGCAGAAACAAATACACATACATATGTATATCCACTGGATGTGGAGGAATATGCAACACAAATTTGTACCTAACAGAAGTTCTATTTACAACATGACATTACTAAAAATATACATATATATATATATATTGATTGATTGATGTGTATGACAATTAATTATACAAAATGTTATATATAACACACACTTATACTACGTACATATATATACATATGTATATATATGTATACAATATATATATTATTATATATTATAATTATTATTCATATACAATACACGGTGAATGTCATTGTCTATTCTAGCCAACTAAACTAAAATGAGTGTCTAACAACTGAATTGAATATTATTTTACCACACCATGTGCAATGTATCAAGTATGACGACAAAAAAGCTTCACACTCTTTTACTAAAACCCTCACAACATACATATATATAAACACATATATAAATCAGTAATTATTACCCAAAAAAAATATACATATACATATGTACGATAATAACAAGTCGAGTGGGCACCGGGCAGTCCGGTCCAGTCGCTCACGCTCCATTTGCCGGCACAGTTTTATAATTCACTCATCAACTGGGGCAGCTAGAAACTGGGCCGCAGATGGGGGGTGGTGGCGACTCGTCGGATTGGTCTTGGGTGCGGTTAGGAGTATGTGCCACATAACAAGCTATTTGGAGACAGCAAGAAACCGTTAAGCCATTGGATTCCGCAAACGAAAACTGAGTAAAAAAAAAATAAATGATAAAAAAATCCAAAAAAAAAATAAAGTTAATTAAGAAAGAAACTTCTACTTGTATCATCACAAGAAACTCCCCACTCAGGCATGACCTTTGAACGATTCAAACGGACAAACAGTAAACGAACTAAACGAACTAAACGAATTAAATAACTGCAGTGAGACATACGGTATTATGCAGTCGATCGGCTGCATGACACAACTACACGAAACACCCCCAGGAATGGCCACAAAGATACAAGAACCAAGGACCGATCAACATCAGTTACCAAAATATCCGACTCAGAGGCAAACGAACAGAAAAAAATAAACAAAAAAAAGAACAAAAAAATATATAACTTAAAAAAACAAGCAGACGATGAAGAGGAAGTTAAATGCAAATGCTGCAAAATAAGCAACTGGAAAAATATGCAAAAAAATTATTGATTAAATAAGAAAGTACCATAATACATATAATTAAAGAGTTTTATGTAGAAGTTGAAACTTAAAGAAAATGAAAACGCGTTACAGTAGTTCCAAGTACTATCTCAAGATAAGAAAAAGAAACATTTCAATTAACTTTAAGAGCGAAACAAAAAAAAACAAAACAAAAAACAACAGAGTTAAAGTTAAAGTATTATATACAAGAATTATTATCTCGACGCAAAAGTTTTTGTTGTTTATATTATTTCCTTTGTTTGAACATAACTATAACTAAAAAAAAAAAAAAACAAACAAACACAACTGACACTACACTACAAAAAATAAAAGCAAATGAGAAATCAATATTACAATAACTGTGGCAAGTCCGAACAACATCCAAGGGGCTTGCAAAAGAAAACCTAAAGGCAAAATTATAATTAACGTGGTAGAAAAAAAAACAAAAACAAAAACAAAAATAACATATGAAAGATTTACTGTTTTTAGAGACAAATATTTAGTAGTGAGTTTTTCGATTGATTTACGAGTACTTGAAGCAACGTTTTTTCAAAGTTAATTAACAAAATACGATACGACAATTTCAATTTAAAACGTCTTCGATCAAACAAATTAAATAAGTGTACTACAAATACTTATCGTAATCGTAACACACGTAACGACAAACAAACAAAAAAACAAACAAAAATTATTGATGTATATTTTAACATAAACATAAACATAACCATAATCGAAATATATTAATTAATTAACTCGACGAAATGAAAGCAACAACCATGCGTAGACTATTGAACGGAACTTACACATAACAAATAACAACTAAATATAATAATGTTTAAACGGATTTCTCCATTAACTAACTATACATTATGCTACATAACATTATAACGTACCTTTATGCATATATACATATATATTTATCGATGTGTAGCAACCAAGTATGCCCATTATGTAGGGCTTATCTACACGAAAAAAAAACCCCCAACCAAAGCATTCCACATCAACCATTACCCAAATACTAGTTTCATTGATGGTGTAACATAGATATACAAAAACAAAACAAAACAAAACAAAAACATTTAACTAAACTAAACAAAATATACTAAATTAAATTAAAGACGATGCGGAAGACGATGTTTATGAACCCTTGTACCGAGAGGAATAAATACCCATACGGACAAATAGCTGACAAATGTCAGCCGACACACAGACGAGACGAGACAGAGACCGACCCCATAAAAAATATATACCTCGAAACAAAGCAAAAATTATCTCCTCGCAGAGAGGAGAGCCCCAAGTGTAGAAGCAACAAATAAGCGCCTGGAACTTGAGCTTTCCTTGCGGCGGAGACAGAGTCGAGTTGTGGGCCACAGTGGGAAAGATCTATAGAGAAAATGCGGGTGTTAGATGAATACAAAACCGTCGACCGACTCCGACTCCGACTGACTGACTGACTGACTGACTGACTGACTTCAGACGAACCCAGAAGGACAAACAGAATAATGGTTCGAGTTCCTAAACAAACGTAACCTTGACCCGCAACAGCCAAACGGACCAACAGACCCAGACCCAGACCCAGGACTACGACCAGGACATGCTGTAAATACGCACATCTTCGGACACCGAACTGACAGATGATACGAACGGACTACGCGACACACATATACTTAAATACATACTGAAATGGATGTCTTAACGGATGGAAATGGAGGGACACGCAACGGAAAGACGACTCTACGGACCGAATCGGACAGTTCTTAGTCTTAGGCCTACTACACAATGAGATTCTACTCGTCAAACGGGACAATAGCTAATGGGGAATACTACGGGGTGAGTGGTCACAGTCCGGCCGCCTGTACTCCGCCAGAGGAAAGATCAAGTAACGCACCAGGCGATTATTTAATAGATTAAATGAAAAAAGCTTCTTGCTAATTTGCCCACACAAAAATGGACGCAAAATTCTCTAACAAAAAATCTCGATGTGCTTATATAAATATCTATGTACAAGTATGTACCATAAGTATGTATTTTCATTGAGTTTGAGTTTGGTTAAAACGGAAGTTAATATACAAATACAAATAAATACAAAATTACACAGAAAGGCAACACTCGATCATAGCCGCCGGTATCTCCAGCATATATATGGAAAATTGAGAACAACATATGAAGAATATAAAGCGATTAATTAATTAATTTAAACAAAAAAAATGAGCAGGCTTTCATACATTTTTGGAAACACCTAAACCAAAAGTGACAAGAAAATAAAACTGATTAAGAGGGGCGATTAGCAGTTAAGTGAAACATTTAACAATATCGATGTGTATACAATATGCTAAAAACAAACTATATATACATATATATTCCGCAAAGTATAAATATATTTATCCATTTAGCCACTTGGCAATGATTGTGTTATTAAGCAAAAAACAAAACAAAACAAAGAAGAAAGCAAGAAAATACAATTGAAAAAAATGCAACAAAAAAATGGTAAAAACCAGCAAAAAATTATGCTGGCTGAGGCCACTAATATTTGACATTAACTAAAACTGATGACAAGAGAAAAAATGAATAAATCTATATATATATGTAATGAACAATACACACGAAACACACACGAAAAAAAACCCCAAAAGACACCTACAAGAAACCTACAACACAAATCCAAGACATGGAGCATACCTATTAAAGGTTTTTTGTGCAAAAACTAATTAAACTATGCAATTTAAGTGTTTTAAACATAAACATATATATTATATATACCAACACTTATTTATGAGAATTATATAACCGATATACATATATATATATGTCTAAAGTATATATATTAAACCCACATTAAATTTATTGGGGCGAAGAAGAAGAAGATCACACACGCAACGATCACAAATATGGTAAGAGGCAGAAGAAAACCCCCCAAAAGAAAACTATAGCGCCATTGTGTAATATGCGCTGCAAATACAAATTTAAAAACAAATACAAATAATGAACTAAAACGATGAACTATGAATGTAAAACCACATATATATTGTGCTGCATGTGTAAATGATATATTAAATGTAAAGTAAAACGAGAATACCTACGCTTGCACAGTGAAATACAAAAGAACGATGATCTGTGTGAGGGTAACGAGATGCAGAACAGAACCCGGTAATAATTACGATTACTATTATAATACAGAGCAAACAAAATAATAAAGAGACCCTTCAAGAAACTACAAAAAAAACAAACAAACACCCCCCATCCCACAGCAATCCACAGCAAAAACTCACATATAATTAACTATTTAGTTAGTTAGTTAAAAATGCACACAAATGCGATTTTGGTTTCCCCCCATGTTTCACTCAGTGTGGACTAACTATAGTCTCTTTGTGTGTCTAATTAAGAGAAAATTCGGGCGCTGCGGGCGCTCTAATTGAATAACTTTCAACAAGAAGAAAAAACCAAAAAAAAAAAACCAAAAAAGAAAATCTAACAAAATCACTGTAACAAAAACACCACTTACCGCCTACACTACAAGGCCCCTGCAAAGGTATTGTACTAAATACTAATAATAATAATAATCTGTAGCGTTGCTTAGCGCAATTACTAATACCTGCTAAATGCTACTAATACTACTACATATAATCCTGTACCATAATAGTCCACTTAGCATACTTAGCACACTCTGCACGCGTCCAACAAACTCCAAAACTCGATTCCCCCCACACGATAATGCGCATGCTTACATAGAAACTTTTCTCGAATTACTTTTTCTTATTAATTTATACATTTTTCAATAGTCGCATGCCACTCCCACT